TAAATGGAGCAATTGATTGATTCTATTAATTGTAGCTGCCATAAAACCAACCATGTTTCTACATGACAAGTTCCAGTCATCTATCATAAAACTGGCATAGACTAACTATAAATCAATGTTTGCTTCCTCTGTTGAGTGTAATTACATTTGAGCTTGGATTTGGTCTGAATGCTGCAAATCAGTCAGCCCTTTACACACACGAACACACAGACGGATACTAAAACCGAATAATCAAAAGTCGTTCAGCATCCCTGGGGCCACTGAATGTCATATTCAACCTACCCAACTTGCAGCCCTCTGCTTCAAACATGAAGAAGTAGAACAGATCTCTAAACACAGACACAGTCTGGGACACAGCAGTTAACAATGGTTATTTCTTCCAGCAGCTTATTCACATTTTTACACCAATTCGTGTTCATTCCTCTTGCTGTTATATTACAAAATAAGAAAGCAAAGGAAAAAAAGTAGCACTTCTAAGGACCAGAGTTTAAGACTATCACATACAGTATAGGCAGCATAGAAGAGGAAAAATTGGTTGAATAATCTATCATACAGTAGGTCACTTGAATAAGAGAGAGAAAGTAGAGCAGTCTGTGATTGTCACTCCCTCCTGTCTGAGGCTTCCATTCACACAGCAGATGTTATTTTTCCTTTTTTAGATTTTTTTCTGATCAGAGGCATTGATGCAGAGACTGCCGATCTGTGCTCACCAATCTTCTCTGTCTCTTGCTGTCAAAGCATCACCTCAGTCCAACTTCACATAGTTCATTATTATTATTTTTTTTTCTTTTACAAAAGAGAGAAACAAACTCAGTGGGTAAGTGCAGAAACAGTGCTGGCAGCTGGGGAGCCGCTTCAGTGTACGCTACTCTTCAAACATCAGAGGTGTCCGTACGCACTGCATTTATTTTTCACAGTTTTTTCCAGCTTACACACCCTGCCCTCTGGTTTTGTACAGAGACATTGTGGGTCAGTTTCTTTTAAAGTGTTTCGAGTGTGGTTGGTGTGCTTCAGCAGGGACGGATTTTGAACCCTGTTAGCATGCGCTGTCAAAGCTGCAGCCATTAACCCTTGTAGTTACTCTGGAAGGTGACAATAATTTTGGCAAAATGTCAAACTCAATTGACATACATGACAGAGTGATGAGATATCCATCCCTGCTGCTGTGGACAGTGTCCACAAGGACAGGCCTGGTTGTTATTAAGAAGTAAAAGGAAGTAAAAATACCCACACACTCAAGATCATCTTACACATTTGTGTAAACATAATTATTAAGTTCAAATTCAGTTTGTTGTTGCAAAAAGGCAACCCTATATATAGAAAGAAATGTACAAAAAAGATTACAAGTATATAAATAAGATAACAAATCAACTCAATCAATCAAATTAAATACATCAATACCATCAAGTCCTGCAGTAAAATAACAAAGACCTATTATTCCAAATGAATGCACTACATTAAATTAAAATGTCTGTCAGTGAAACCGCACTGGTAATGACTTTTTAATGTCTGTAAATAGTAAAGTATGCACTAGCAAAATGCAAAAACAAACATTAAATGTGTTTTCTTCCATGCATGTGAGCTGTATTTACAATGTCTGTCAGCCAGAGCAGAGCTCTGTAGGGAAGTGATTCCCACTATCTGGGGCGTGAGGTAAATTAAAATTATTTTCCAGGTTAGCTATTGCATATATATGAGAAATGTGCAGCAGGGTTTCTGCAGGTCTTGATAATCCTAAATTGAGATTTATAAATACTAATATTAAGTCGAATATTATTCAAAATTGCGATGCAAAATACATTATTAAATGTTATTTAACTTTTATTTAACATATTTTAGACTATAAACTATTTACCTAAATTGGCATTTTACATTTCCATCATGTGACTGTTGACTTTGCACTTGCCACAAAACTTGCACTTCTTCCTCCATCGTAACCTTGGTAAAAGGTTACCTTCAAATCAAAGAGATGTGATGATACTCATAATGATAATCATAATTACACTTCCATTTCTAGCCTAACATTTCATTTTTTTTTATCAACAAATGTATTCTCTTCACTTCTTTCCAGTCATGTTTTTGACTACACTTAGGCATTCAGACTACACAGGTAAGGTTTGGTTTTAAATGAGATATATCTAAAATGCATGCATCTAGAGCTTATGTGTTGCTGTATTTAATACCTTAACATGGTTAAGCAAAACATCCTGGCTGACTACCTCAGAAAGTAAGTGGTGTTGTTTAGATTAACAAGACTGAGGCTGCTTTGTGTTATAAACCTGAATGAACAAGGAACAGATGTGGAGCTCATCAAGGCTGCATTCTTAGACCATTTTTATTCAGTATCATATGCTATCTCCGGTTCAGGTTATAGAGTATATTTATCACTTATTTGCTGATGACATACAGCGTTACATTTTTGGTCATACCTTATGACCAGAATTTCATAGAGGGATAACATTGACATGTATTTAATATCAGTACATTAATGGCTCAGCATTTCATTTATAATAAAGCAGAAACAAAGATTTGTTTTTGACATGAAATAATTTTGGGGTCTAGAGAATTTCTGAGATGCTAATCTACACTCACCGGCCACTTTATTAGGTACACCTGTCCAACTGCTCGTTTACACTTAATTTCTAAGCAGCCAATCACATGACAGCAACTCAGTGCATTTAGGCATGTAGACATGGTCAAGACAATCTCCTGCAGTTCAAACCGAGCATCAGTATGGGGAAGAAAGGTGATTTGAGTGACTTTGAACGTGGCATGATTGTTGGTGCCAGAAGGGCTGGTCTGAGTATTTCAGAAACTGCTGATCTACTGGGATTTTCAAGCACAACCATCTCTAGGGTTTACAGAGAATGGTCCGAAAAAGAAAAAACACCCAGTGAGCGGCAGTTCTGTGGGCGGAAATGCCTTGTTGATGCCAGAGGTCAGAGGAGAATGGCCAGACTGGTTCGAGCTGATAGAAGGGCAACAGTGACTCAAATAACCACCCGTTACAACCAAGGTGGGCAGAAGAACATCTCTGAACGCACAGTATGTCGAACTTTGAGGCAGATGAGTTACAGCAGCAGAAGAACACACCGGGTGCCACTCCTTTCAGCTAAGAACAGGAAACTGAGGCTTCAATTTGCACAAGCTCATCGAAATTGGACAATAGAAGATTGGAAAAACGTTGCCTGGTCTGATGAGTCTCGATTTCTGCTGCGACATTCGGATGGTAGGGTCAGAATTTGGCGTCTACAACATGAAAGCATGGATCCATCCTGCCTTGTATCAACGGTTCAGGCTGGTGGTGGTGGTGTCATGGTGTGGGGAATATTTTCTTGGCACTCTTTGGGCCCCTTGGTACCAATTGAGCATCATTGCAACGCCACAGCCTACCTGAGTATTGTTGCTGACCATGTCCATCCCTTTAGGACCACAATCTACCCAACTTCTGATGGCTACTTTAAGCAGGATAATGCGCCATGTCATAAAGCTGGAATCATCTCAGACTGGTTTCTTGAACATGACAATGAGTTTACTGTACTCAAATGGCCTCCACAGTCACCAGATCTCAATCCAATAGAGCATCTTTGGGATGTGGTGGAACGGGAGATTCGCATCATGGATGTGCAGCCGACAAATCTGCGGCAACTGTGTGATGCCATCATGTCAATATGGACCAAACTCCCTGAGGAATGCTTCCAGCACCTTGTTGAATCTATGCCAAAAAGAATTGAGGCAGTTCTGAAGGCAAAAGGGGGTCCAACCCGTTACTAGCATGGGGTACCTAATAAAGTGGCCCGGGAGTGTAATATCGATACATTAGGATCTATTTACTAATGTCTCAGGTTACTAAACAGAAATAAACAAAGTGAAGCAACATTTAGATGCTTCTCTGCTCAAATTCTCCCCCTGAGATGATCATGAAAAGTTTATTCTGGAAACCTCCCCAGTCATTTTGTCACATACCTAACCTATTTAATGGTTTAAGTTGTAACATATCTTTCTTTTTTTGTTTTGTTTTGTTAATTTTTATGGGCTATTAATTAGCCCTGTGACTTTATCATGCTGTGCCAAAAAAATTATTTCCTTAAATTACCAAAATACGAAATCTTAATCCACTAGATGAACTTCATTAACAGAAAACTAGTGCGTTTTCCAAGAAAGGTGGAATATCTAAAGACAAATTCCTTCCATGGGACTTATGGCTTCTTTGCATTGTGGGGTTTGAAGTTTTATTACAGTAGGGCTGAAACAATTAATCGGATTATTCGTGATCAATTGATAAATAAAATAAACGTCAACTAATTTAGTAATCGATTAATCGTAACTGGACTTTAGAGACTGTAAAACATGCCTCTAGTGGACAGAGCAACCCACTTAGAGCAGTAATTATACCACGATTGTAAAAATATATATATAAACATTTTGCATTTAAAATAGAAAAAAATATGTCTCTGTCATATGCTCTATCCAGAACTCCTCAAGTGGAAAAGTTTTAGTTTCATCTGGTTTAACTAAAAAGTCTTCTTTAAAGAATGTTTGGCTATCCGATATTTAATTGATTAATCGAAAAAATAATCAACAGATTAACCAATTTGAAAAAATAATTGTTAGTTGTAGCCCTATATCATTGTCAGCACAACAGATCATGGTGCAATGAAATGAAACATCTTATAAGAGAAAACAATCCTTAAATTTCTAGAAAAAATTAATCAGTGATGGTTCACATTTTGACGAAACCTACTGTAATTTAAGATATGCTGTGGGAAATCTGACAGCATTTAATACATCATGATGCCTTTAATTACATTAATACAGGTAGGAATTATGCTAACTTTTTTACACCCTGCAGAAACCCTGGTCGACAGTTTAGTGTACGGTTGTGTGTGCTGTCTGTGGTTGAAGCAGCTGTAGGAATGTGAAGCATAAATCTGAAGTTGTGGTTTACCGAATATCTTCCGGCGACAGTAATAATGGATGTTCACACTTCTCTCTCCTCATTTTTGTCTCCAGTCCTCTTCTTCTTGCTCACTTGCTTCCCCTCTATACTCATCTCAATAGCTTTCCGGTACACGTTAATACATCGGCCCAAATCCCTCCCCGTTGTGACTCCTAAATCCAGCGAGCCTAACTGTTTTCTTCTCCTTCACCTTTCCATCCCTCCATCCCTTCTTCTCGGACATAAAACAATAAGTCTTGAATGTCTGTGAGGAGACTGTGCTAATGGAGCCCATTAGCTGTAATGAAATATACATTACACCATTACAGAGGACGAGGCCCAGCTAAAGCACTGCACAGCTCAAATAATAAAACATGTACAATTCAATTTCCTTCTCGGCCCGTTTTGAGTGTCTTTCAGTGAGTGGGTGTGGGGATGGAGGGGTGATGGGAGGAGGTATATGATAGATATGTGTGGGTGTGTTCCTCCTACAAGATGCGGTTTTTAAGAATGTTGGAATGCTGAGAGCTTAGACGATTTAATAGGGGTTGACCAGATGAACCACACCTTCTGCAGGCAGCCACCCACACGTTTGACCAGGGACTGACCCCTCAAAACCCAGTCTCCCTCAGCAGACTTTACACCCGCCAATCCACCACCAACCAACCCTTAACGTCCCCCAACACCATGATTTTGCGATTGTCAGACAGCTGCGGACAAATTAATCAATTGACCTCCGACACAAGTACTTGACATCACAAGTGGAGCATCTGTCACTTAGGTGGTTTGGGGTGGAGCAGTTATCATATTACCCTGCTCTGTATGACATTACAAGTCAGGCCTGAGGGAAAAAAAATGTAACACACAACAAAAACCAATGTTTGTCAGTACCCTAATATAATCTCTAAAATATTTAGTCACCACAGTAGTCAGTTACAGCTGTGTTGTTACCGATTCTTTTGTGCATCAGTAAAATCAGCCATCCAGAAATGATCTCTTTAACACACCTTCTAAATTGAATCTGACAGGCAGGGAAGCAGATTGTGTTTACTTCTCCTTTCTAGCATAGTTATGTCATGCTCAATTTCCCACATGCATACCAATGTCTCGATCATTGCTTGTGTAGTCCTGATGGTTAAATGCTGACGGTAATCCTCATGTTAGAGAGGGAGATGGAGACAACAGACAGACGAGGGTGAAAAAGGATAACACAGTGTCTTTACGGCTCGGCATCACGGAGCCACTTCCACCAAAGTGTCCCATCAGTCTCGTATTTACAACCAAAGGTTGGAGCTTTCAAAAAAATTTCCCCCACTCCTCGGCCTTGAGCTTCAGCAGATGTTTGAACATGTTCTGTAGTCTGACAGGCAGCAAAAGGATAAGTCATTTGATGAAGTGTCATTCATCCGTTTGTTTGTTTTTTCATCAGTCGAGCCCCAGTGAGTTTAAAGCATCTGAACAAGAGGGGGGCAGGGAAGCTTCAAAGTTAAATCGCTCTTCATTAAAATCTCCCTGGTGAAAAGCAAGAATGAGTCGGTTTGCACAAAAGGTGAGAAAATTGCCCGTTAGGAAAGAGGATGGAGATGAAGGAGTATTTCTTGATTGCCTTAAAGTGAGTTCAGATCCTGTACAGTTACACCTTCTACACACAGAGACATACCTAGACATACACGCGCACACAAGCATCAAACACTTCATTCTGAAGTATTACAATGCCCATCTTGGCTCACATACAGTACACATGCATGAAAACTTTAAATGTACATTTACATTTAAATATATCCCCACACACTACTTGCACACACACACAGATCATAAACTGTGTTTCATCCTTTTCTTGTTCAGCCCAATATATCTAGGTAAACAGGTGAGGCCTTGGCCAGGTTGAGGAGCAGACCGTGGATTTCTTTAATGTTGAGTCTCATGTGTGGCTCTCTTTGCCAGCAGCCCAGCATCAGGTCGTATACTTCCTTGGGGCAGGTCCTCGGACGCTGCAACACCCTGCCTTGAGTTATACACTCTATCACCTAAGGAGAAGAAACAAAGGAATATTAAGAAACGGAGATGCCACAACATATCTGTTGCCTGATTTATGAAGATTGCAAATAAAGAGAGATAAAATACTTTTGCAATCAAAAATTGCATGTGCAGTTAGTGGACATTTTGCGGGTGACCTACTAAAATTGCGCAATTGATAACAGCTACAAAGGCTGTGCAGACTACCCTGTTTAAAACAGGATATTGTGTGTGCTAATGGCTGTTGCCATGGAGAATCCTGAAAGTAAATGGATTTATTTTTCAGAAGGCATTCAGGTCTCAAGTTAGTTGCAATATACAACAGCAGTGTGCATAGATGGAGGATAAGATCGCTTTGTGGAATGAATGCAGGCAGAGGAGAGGAGAAAGAAACTTCTCTGTGAAATGAAAAACATTATCAGGACAAATCGCCTAAGATGACTTGAAGTCATCCACATGATATGGAAGCTTCTGGCATTAGGATCAACTATCACAACTAATAGTCAAAGTCATATTTCTTATTTGTGAAAGAAATGTCAATAAGTAATGTCAACCAAATCATGTTTTCGAATATCCCAGATTCATTAAACCATTTTTTAAATATATGAATGCTATCTTTTATCAAAGAGAATATTACAGTGGTCAATTTATTAAAAGAAAAGCAAATCACTATTAGTTTTCCAGTAGACGTTCTCCAACAAACCATAAACAGATGGACTACTGCAGAACAGAAGAACAGAAGACACCTTTTATTTAATTTTTCTTTCAACTCATCATAATTCCTGACACATAACTGGAATAATTAGAGCCTGAGGTGAAACAGCCACTATATCGAATGCATTTTCAGCATCACAGATGTGTGGACAGTGGCGATAACAGCATGTATGGAGAAGCTATATATTGAATTCATGATTTGCTGTTAAATTGGTCTTTTATAGATATACCAGATCAAAATGATTCAACTGTTAGATAAAGCATGTTGTGCAAATTAGAAAGGACAAAGGAAGGTTCTTCTGCCTAATTATGCCTTTCTTCAAGTGCCATATGATTTAATGATATAGAATACAGTGTGTCAGAGTACAGTAGCTTGTATTTGTAAAAGGTACAACGATGACACAGGCTAATATATTCATTAAATCTTACCTATGAGACACTTCCCCACAAAACTAATGAAATATTTAGATATACTTCTACAGAGGTGCTGTTTCATCTCACCTTGGGGGTACAACATCTTGTTAGTCATCACTTATTAAGATGACGGGCCTCAAAGGTAAAATCTACACATCTATACCTACATTGTGTATCCAACTATGTTTAAAAGCATCAGGACTGAACACATTATAGTCTCACTATAGTTCTGAATATAATAATCTATTTAATACTTGATACATAGAGTAAAATTAGTATTTTGTGTACCTCATTATTGGAAAGCTGGTACCAGGGTTGTTTCCCATAGGTGAAGATCTCCCAAAGAACAACTCCAAGACTCCAAACATCACTTTCAGTGGTAAACTTCCTATACATGATGCTTTCAGGGGGCATCCAGCGAATTGGCAGCATGGTGTGACCTCCAACCTTTTAAAGTACAAACACAAACATAAAAGACAGTAAAGTTGTGTGATATTACAAGGAGGAGATGAGAATATAACTCATAAAACTATTTTTATTATCTTTACAAAGCAGAAAAATCAAGAAATTTTAAATAAATATGTATAACTCAAACAGTCCCTCTATTCTTTTCAATGGAGAAAGGCAATTGAAAAAAAACAAAGAATCACATCTCTGAAGCAGAAGGCTCTATCCTCTATGGATTATGACACATTTGAAATTGTAGGGCATGCCTAGCTACTGGTGCAAGCAGGAAAAAGATTGCTTCCTTAACAAAAGATCTCTTGTATGTATGTTTATTTGCAATACAAAACAGGACAGAGTGAGCATTCTTATGGTTCTCCAAAGATTGTGCTATGCAAGAAAGGAAAGATGGTAGAGCACTTGAGATTTGTAAAAGTAAACAGCTCTCATTTGATCTGAATGTTTTAAAGGTACACTATGCAACCGGTGTTGATTTTCCAGTGAGGCTCCCTCCAGAGGGCGAAAGTAAAAGTGCACTGTCGTAAATATGCACAGCTGATCTCCTGGTTTCTCCGTCAAGCCAGGCGCGGTTGTTTTGAGCTTAGCAGCGAATGACTAACGCTGCGTTCACACTGGACGTAGCTGGCGCGACAGAAGCAGCGAGTTTACATGCAAAGTCAATGGTTGACGCGCGTCAAGGCGCAGCAAAAGGTCCAGCGGCGCGTTTTGAGCACCAGGCGCAGCACGTCTAAGCAGCTGAAGCAGCGCGTCGGGTGCGTTTAACGCAGGGAGAGAGACACAGCGCTGATGATCACTCCTCTTAAACAGTTTATTGACGCCTAAATTAACTTAAAATGCAGAAATCTGCCGGCAGAATATGCAGTTTGGATTATTTAGATGAAAAACACCTACCAGCTGCCGCGGTGAACCGCTGCTGATGAAGGGATCCATACTGTCGGCACCCCGCTGGTATGTGGGGGTCTGAGCGGCTCCGACAGAAAAAATATTGAAGGCAGGATAATAATCTGAATGAACTGACTGCACTGATTACGTTTTCAGGTGTATTTTCTCACTTAAACACATATTAAAACTACTTTATTCCCACTGATCACAGAAAATATAGCTGCAAGGCAAAGAAAGGATAGTGAAGCTCCGCCCAACGCGCCTCAGACACACTTTTGCACCCCGCAGCCAGAGCAGCAAAGCTACTTCAGCCTCGCGTCAGAACTAACTGGTACAAGCAGCAAAAAGGAAGCAGCAGACGCGATTTTGCTGCTTTTGCTGCGTGAACGTACCATAACTGCACAAAGATTGCCACTGTGCTAGCAACGAGAATGCTTTTAATGGGGGCGTGTAGCAGTTCTCGCCGTAAAGCAAGACTGACTCTCAGGAGACTTCTGAGCCTGTGGGTGCGGGTCGGTGCTCCTGCAGTTGCAAGTGCAGTATTTCCCCCACAGACCACCAGGGCGGCAGAGGATACCTTTGTTCAACCTGAAATGACTCATTTAGTCATCCATAACGTTATGGAACACATTAATTAACTGAAAAATGTTGCATAGTGTCCCTTTAAAATTCAGGATAAACACTTTTGTCTTTCATATAAAAGAGAAAATGTTCCGTCAGGGAAAAAAAAATGTTTTATATGTGACGAAAATGTAATTTCTTCAACAGTCAACTTGTTCCCAACACCCTAGCTAAAGGTATTGTGGTGGATTTGTTGCAAAGTTTTGAAAAACCCACCCTCTCCACTCTAAGAAAAAAATGCATATGTACAAGCCCATTTCTCCTCATACACACTTTATTTAAAAGTTGCTGTTTGCATCGCTCATACAAGCTTACTTTCCAAAAGAAGCAATTTTTCCACTATGTTAAACTCTCCACCGGTAAGTGAAAATGGGGACGAGCACGTTGAACGGCCTTACGTAATCATATCACCACAATGATTGACAATTAGGATGACCACTTATTTTGATGATCCACCCAGAAAAGAACATCCTCCACTACTCCTTTAAAACAACATGAAGGAAAAGAGTTTTCAAGCGACTGATTGGCAGTGCACAGCAACAGATGAGGGAGGGGCAATGCAATAATTCTATATATATATTCTATTCTATCCATGTCTCATTCTAAAGTCGACGTAAAATCGATTCACTGCCCATGAGCCATTTATAAAAGAAATCACTATTAATGGTTTGGTGAGACTGACTGCATCACTCCTTTTACTGTAGCTAGCCATATCCTGATAAAGCTGTGTAAATAAAAAGTGTGTGGTTGAGAATCCATTGCTTACTGTGTGTTTCTCCAAACAAAGGGAGCATTCACACTTTAGTGCAGTTGGTGGTAAACTCCTAGGGAGGCCACAGATATAATGCCAGTAATCATAATTAGCGGATAAATGTGATACATTAATTGTCAGGGATGAAATGTGTGCCAGTATGTGGGAGACAGTAAAAACGTCCAGTCACATTCTTGTAATCTGCTGCAAAATGTTTGGAATAAAAGTAGAAATACCTTTATTGTCCCACATTGGGTACCTTTTAGATGTGACAATAACAAAACAAGTAGAGAGAAGAAAGTTTACAGATAGACAAGACAAAAATCATAAAAAAAAACAGTCTTATAAGTTAAGCTGTAAGATAGAAAAGTACAAACACATTCCAGAGAGAGAAAAATAGTGTCTTTTTTTTCTCCAGTTTTAACAACTATCGCAATTATACACCTAAAATGTTACAATCCATTAAAAAATAACACTTGTTGAAGAGCGGAACTGACAGGCTGATCTCTAGCAGGAACTCTGTCATACAAGCGGTCATTTCACTTTAATCTGAACTCAACCAGTCAAGAAAGTAACGTCAAATTCATAAGCGCTTTTTACTATTCATAAAGACGGACAGTACAGTTTTACCCAGACTTCCCACACAAATATTAAGCACTTTGATTGAATAACTGTGGCTACAGACCAGCTATAGATAAAAGGTACTGTATATCAACACCTAATCTACATGGACAAACTGATATGTTTCTATTAATTAGATTCAATCATGTAAAATGGAGCATTCAATTCCTCTGTCTCTTCGGTTTGAAATATAGTCTCTATAACCATTTACAGATAAGAGGTAGCTCTTTTTTGGGGTTTTGTGATACAAGAGGAACATTTAAACCCAGTCTTTCTATTGGAAAGGTGAGTATTGCAGATCCATTTAAGAACACTCTTTCATCTGGCAGAATCAAGCACAGAAAGGAAGCGGAAAAAGCACAGAACCAGTGAGAAGTCAAACATGTTTCAACACCTGATGCTTGACAAAGATACCCCAAAGCGCAGCAAGCAATCTAGGGACACAGACAAATTATTTGCTCTGGTGATTGTGATCTGCATGACTGAGAGCTAATCTGCCCTGAGTTTCAGCAGATTTAGGCAGGGCAGGATCACACGTACACATTGATGTCAGCTTGTTCCAAATATTTTAGATGAAACGGGAAGAGTATGGAAAGATACAGAGGGAGAAAAATGACAGAAATAGAACGATCTTAGATATGATGAAAAAGTTTAGCAGATAAACTAAGTATTCACATGAAACTGAAGAATTAATTAATAACATGTAAATTCATAGGATTTGGCCTCAATTTAACTTTTTGAATATATAAAGAGCCAATAACCAGGTTTCATGGGGCATTTCCGGTTTACTTTTGCCACAAAACTTTTTTTGCTACTTATTTCTTGTTGATTAAGGTCAGCGTTCATTTACAAATAGTGATGACTCTAAAATTGATACATTTACTACATTTGCTACAATATTGAACTGAGAGGATATTAGAACTATATTGCCTAATGTTACACCAGTCGTACTTGAGTCCATGGTGGGGAAAAAAGCAAAAAAAACAAAAAACAAACAAGAACTGAAAAGCTTGAAAGCTTATCAATAATTACAAGGGGAATCTGAATGATTCCTGCCATAACGATGGGGTGGAGACTAAAAGCTTCAACTGTACAGCTGGATCCAGCCAGCCATGCAGCCATTCAGCTGCCAAGATGTTGCCCAAGAATCCACTCTGTCACCCCAAAGCAATTTTAAAATTATCCCCTTCTTTCTCCCTATCTTTCTTGTTCACACATGCACATTTAAAACCCAGAGAAAGGCAAATACATGCCAGAAGAGTGCAGGTCCCCATGTTGCATGAGTCAGGATTGTCAGACAACAAGGCTGATTAAGCTTATGATGGGTATAGCCCAGGGGCGTTGCTAGGCACAAAGCTTTACTGGGGCACTGGTCCCCTACCGCATATGCCCCTCCTGCCATACACAAATACAGACAAGCACACTGCCCCACCCTGATACATTCCTACCAAAATTACCAGTTGAGATATTAATGAGTGTAAGAGCATATTTGTTTTAACATACATGAACATTTTCAACATTGCAGCTATAAAAAATAAAACGTTTTCTTATACACATTCTAAAGTAATCATTAATTCCTAGGTTTCAGAGTTTTAGTTGAGGGGAAAGTTTAACTCAACATGAACTAAGTTTTTCTTTTATTTTTTGAGCATTAAAGTGTACCTCCTATTTTTCATTTTCTTCAAAGCGGTCAATCACTAGATATGGGGCCAAAATGGTAGCTTTAATATTTGCAAATGTGTGTGGAGAGTTGTGTGTCTGTATCTCGATTTGTGCGTGTGCAGTGGGATTTGAAAATGTGTAAATAAATCTGTAAATGTGTGAGGAGATTTGTGTGTCTGTACAACAATCTGCAAATGTGTAAAACTACTTGTGTGTAATCCGTTTTGCAAATGTGTAAAAAATCCACAAATCTGTATTCAGATCTGCAAATGTGTACTGAGATTTGCAAATGTGTAAAAAATCCACAAATCTGTATTCAGATCTGCAAATGTGTACTGAGATTTGCAAATGTGTAAAAAATCCACAAATCTGTATTCAGATCCACAAATGTGTACTGAGATTTGCAAATGTGTAGATCAATCTGTAAGCACACACAGAGACACTT